CCGTTGCGTGAAGAATTCAGAGCGGAGGTTGAGCTTGGACATCTTCGTGCGCCAGCTTCACTGTGTGCCCACGGAGATGAGGCGAGAGGTGCCACTGAAACAAGTCCTCAAAGTGCAATCTTTTCTCAGGACTGTGTATTATCTTGTAAACTAAGACAATATCTCCGCTTTTTGCTTGTAATGCAGAGGGAATAAATTTAGGCATGTAAGCCAATTTATGTAGCAATGGTTCTTTAGACCTCTTACTAGCTTTGTTGCCCGACGCTGCACTGTTTCGAGGCGTATTGTGTATTTTGCTAACCATGGCCGCCACGCCTGCATCCTATATTCAAGGTGTGGTCGAACGAATGTACCGTACACTTTGCCGAAGAGATCTTCGTCGAAGGCTATAAACTCCCTTTTGATAGCGTGTAGCACCCCCCGTGGCTTTATTTGCAGCTTTGCCACATTGTAACGAGGACTTCAGATTGCTTTGTATCCAAATGCCGAGGTCGTTCTGTGAAAACTCGACAGGAAGTTGACTGTTTTTCAGGTGTTATGTCCTCATGTTGTGAGGGGTGTGGTTGTTCGCTGGACTCAGGTGGAGGACGGCGCACGTTTGTACATTGAAATCCAGGAGCCATCTTTCGACCACGTCTGCAGTTTGCAAATATGATTTTGCAGAGCTTCTCTGTTGCTCGGATGCTTAATGACCTGCCGGAGTTTATCGTCATCGGCGAACATGATTTAACCGCAGTCCAGGTCTTGAAGGCTGTCATTTACATAGCCAATTGAGAGTAGGGTAGCGAGAACTGAGGCTTAAGGTACTCTACCAACTACGTCCATCCAGTCCGATTTATCCTCCCCGATGCAAACGCGTTGTTTTCGACCGACCAAAAATGTCCTGATCCAGTGCATATGTTTCCCCCTGAAGCCAAGAACGTTCAGTTTATGTAGAAGGCGGTGATGAAACACGCTGTCAAAGGCTTTGCGGAAATCGATGTACACTGCGTCCACTTCAAAGCCCTCTTCAAAAGCATTTGTCCAGGCCTCAAGTCAAATCAGCAAATTTGGAAGACAGGAGCGCCCTCGCCGAAAGCCGTGCTGAAAATTTTGTATTATGTTATTTCCATCGCATAATCTCAGTATGGCCTGTGTGACAAGGACCTCCATCATTTTGCAGGCAAGGCAAGTCAAGCTTATGGGCCGAAAGCTGTTTGAAGCCATCCTGCTACCTCCCTTATATAACGATACGATGTTGGCCGTCTTTCACTGCAAAGACTGTTCTCATGGAAAGCCGAACAGAGATGAAAGAGGCACCGATAGCTCGGTCGACAGTTCTTTAAGTATAAGTCCTGGGATTTCATCCAGTCCGCGATACTTGTCTGGTTTGATGTGACTGATGACATATCTTACGTCTGCAACAAAAAGGGTAGGAGTTTCAATTATGGCTGTATCTTCGCCCACTACTACTCCCGGATTGTCATCGGGGGATTCCATGTTAAACGCCGATCTGAAAAACTCGGACGGTAACTCTACGTTCTGTGGTCCTCCAGTTTATACGTTCGCAAGGTTATCCCTTACAGTTGCAATGTCGTCCCGGTGCTTACTTAGACTGCGGATGTATCCATTTACCTGCTTTGGACATATTGTAGCTTGTGTTGTTTGTTGACGCTCAAAAGCAGTTCTAGCAATTCGTATTTCCTTACGGCATATATTTAGTTGCGCTTTATATTCGGCAATTGATGTTGGATCTTGGAGATTCACGAAGTTTTTCAGCTGCCTTTGTTTCTTCTTTATGGCCATTTTTAGCATCCGCTTGACTCATGATGATATGGCATTGCCTTCATTTGGCAAACGACTTCAGTTAGGCGCTATACAGTCGCTTGTATTTGTGCCATAATTAATTGGTATAGTTTGTATTGGGTAACCAGTTTTCTGCTGAAGCGGTTCGTCTCATTACTTCAAAAGCGGCTTTCCAAATATTTATGCAACTCCTTATTTGAAATTTTGGAAACAAGAGATAACACATGCACGTAAAGGCAACATGGTCGCTTAACCCAAGTGGCGGCTGTGTGTTCACTTTCCTTATGACCCCCTGTTCTTTACTAAAAATGAGATCTAGACAGTTTGATCGCTGGCCGTCCCGCAGCCGCCTTGTAACGTCTATGTGTTGAATCTGATATTCGTCCAAAGAAAACTGCGGTAGTTGATAGCCAAAGGTTGCTGCTGTGGCCTTTACTGCGGAACTCATCCAGTCGATGCCAGGAGAGTTGAACTTATCCAGGAGTAATATATTTTCCTGTTGACAGATAAATGTCAGTGAACTTAGCAGTTCCACGTTGTCACTTTCGTTGGACCCGGAATACCGATAAACAAGGCGTAGAGTTGGTGTCGGTTGTTGCCTAATCTTAAACTTGCACGAAATTATTTCATATTGTCGTAGGGCTACGTGGGCGATCACCCTCTGACAACAGGAAATTTCATTGGCTACATAAAGTGCCACGCCTACACCCCTACGTTGAGATCTGTGGCAGCTGACTATTTGATAGCCTTCGATGCTGACTTCACTGATTCCTATTGCTTCGGTCAGCAACGTCTCTGTCAAGGCAATTATATGCGGTTTCTGCTCAGATGCTATTATTTAGAGTTCGTCAAGTTTATTGAAGAGACTCTGACAATTGCTGTAATAAATCCCGACGCATCGGCTTGTGGTATCTTCTAAAACCGGCCGGTTGACTTCGGTTAAGTATTCCGCGTGACTACTTCCGGCAAAAGGAAATATCGTTCGAATAGACCTAGTTCTCCTTCGCTTCTTAATAAGCCGGTTTCACCTTTGTTCTTTCGGTTGTTAAGTTTGTTTATCGAAAGTCGCATTTTCATGCGTTCCCTTGGTCCATAGTCCGGCTGAAAGAAGACTCCGACATGCATGCTCCGCAGATAGTACTTTATTTTTTAGCAGAAGCTGTGCTTGCGGTTCGGTGTCCCAAATGACCTCTAATGGTCATGGCCGAGTGTTTGAACCAGTCGATGGCTGAGCCTGCCTATCCTGTTTTTAGACTTTTTACAAACTCTGCCTCTTAGTTGTAATCCAGCGTTCTACCGAACGAAAGCTCTGTAGTGCTCCGCCTTATCCCCAACAATGGTAGCCATTGCTTCTGGTGCACCCTGTATGACAATATTTTGTTTGCGTTTTGATCGAGCTTGTGCAGTGGTCGTATCGCATTGGTTGACTGATGAGAATTTTGTTTCCTGCTTGCTTATTTTGCTATCTGTGGGAAAAGTAGCAAGAATGCTTTCAAAGTGCGATTCTGTGAAGGATTCTATGGACATTGTGCTGATGTAACTTTCTTATGTTGCCTTATTCTGACAGATCGTTTTACTTTCGTTCCGGCTGTAGTTCTATTCTACTCCGCTGCGGTTTGCTATCGAAGGATTGACTGCCATGTTCCGGGCTCTTTGAAGCCCCGATGTCTGATCCCTCATTCGAAGGTGCAATTTTCGTTTGGATCTTGCTTAAGCTCGGCCAACTTATACTAGCCGTGTGACTTAATTAGTCCTTTTTGGGAATCTGGGAGCGGTGCTTCGATTTCTGAGAAGCCTTTGGGTCAACCGTTTTCTTTGTACATGATGGACTACCATTTCCATCAAACATCCTGGCTGCCTGATAACAGTTATAAAAAGAGTATCGAGCTTGCCCAAAGTACTAAGCCATATATTTTCAATCTATATATCAAACGGTTTCTTTCCTGACTCTTGGAAGACATCCATTATTTTTCCAGTCTTTAAGTCAGGATCTCATTCTGACCTAAATAACTACCGAGGCGTTCATAAAACCATGGCCCCAGTCAAACA